AGGAGTGATACGCCAATCACTTCCTGTTGATTAAAAAGGTCTATGAAGTCCTAAAACAGGTCCTGAAAGTGAAACACCCTCCATAGTGTTCTAGGGGTGAGATTTGCAATTTGGGGGACAGAGGCGTTGTTTTTTAAAGGATTCTAGGGAGTAGACCAGACCTTAGTCTGGTAGCCACCAGAGGGGAGGAGAGTCCTCCAAGGCTAGTGGTCTTGGACTCTGAGAAGTTGTCCATCCTTGTGTTAAGGGCTGCTTGTAAATACTGTAAATAGGTTCCAAGGAAATATACCCCGCGCCAGGTTTGTTGTTGGTTTCAGAGACTCTTGCCCCTTGACAGGCTGCTGTGTACAAATATTAACAAGATCAGCACGTGCTGTCTTGCAGTGAGAAAGCAGCTGCACAACCACCCTCTCACACACTAAGTGGCATTGATGCCATCGCCCTTTCCTTGAAGAAGAAAGCACAGGGATCAGCTGACACCCCAGCAGACCAGTGCAACACTGAGAATTCCCGGGTAGAAAATGCCATGGCCGCAGCCACTACTGGAGTTTCCTTGGAGTCACCTCTAAGCAGCTGACCTGCAAGTGGACCCACAGCCACCAGTCTTAGAAAATCCTGTCGCTTAAGGCAATGGGATCCCATGATCTTCTACAACAAGGTACAGAACATGTGTAGCCCTTCATATGTTGTTGAACAGCAAATCCCATCCTCCTCAGTCATCATGCCCCAGTGCATAATATGACATAGTAAAGGATGATGGAAGCTGGAGTCCATAAGATCTGGAAAGTCATGTGTTCCCCAATCTAGTTCTATATTCTGACAGTAAAAACAACCTGGCAGAGAATTTTCTGGCAAATACAGATATAAATGATAAAGGAGGGAAGAGGAGTGTTGTTGTTTTTCTTATCTTATTCAACCTCTGAGAATTCTCCATAGGCCAAACAATAAATGTAGATAAATACATTTAAAATAAAAGTAAGTGGCTAATTCAGGGTTGTGCCTATTTCAGCTTCAGTTAGCACTGGGCTAATGTCTTCATTAACTGAATATTCCCATGAACTTTTGATAAAGTGTCTTCATTTTTAAAATTCTGTGATGTTTCTCTGGTGTTTTCGTTTATATGCCCCCTTTCTATGGCATTTCTTAAGATTTAGCCATTTGACTTTTAGAAAGAACTTTGAAAAGCTGCTTTTCTCCAAGCAGCCACCCAGTCTGAAAGATTCCAGAGGTTATTGTCCCCCAAAGGGAAACAATTCCAGGCTTTGCTTTTAGACTGCTCCATTTTCAACTTTCAGGCCTTCTCCTAATATAAAGGTGAGTTGGGCAACTTTCCAGATTTCACTTTCTTTGTACAGAGGGCCTTTCTCTATTGAAGCATACAACACAATTCTTTCCTACTCCTGCTGAAATGGTGACCGCCAGCAGTACTTTCAGCATTTTATTCTCTTGGAATAAGTATTATCTGGTTACGCTAAATCTTTGGTGTGTGTTTTTCCTTTTTCCATACCCAGGCTTGCTTTTCTAGCTCCAGCTGCTCATATTTATGTTTTTTACAATTTTGGCTGATACAAGATTATATGGCCTTTATAGCTGTATGTCTTTATATATTGTGCCTGCATATGCTGGGTCTTTTTCTTCCATATCATTCTCCATGTGTTTCTCCTACTATTACTCCAAACCCCTTTTCCTTTATTAGTGCAATGCTCTCCAATGCCCAATTTTGGATTGCTATAGAGGATTTTGTTCTCATAAATTAAATTTCATGGTCTGTTCTGAAAATGTGTGTATAATATCTTGCCAATAGGGATTTTGCTATTAACACTGGATCAACGTACTAGTGACATCTCAGAAAAACCAGTGGCAATCTCTTTTTGTCAGCTTCCAGAAACAGAATGATTGATGCTCCAATGCTCATAATGTGCTACTCGTGCAGCAGCATCTTTCTCTTCGTCCTACTCATCTCATTTGTACTCATTTTTACTCTAATATTTTTCTTTATCAATTTTGTTTGCCATCATCTCTGATGTGATTGTGGTTATTTCCACTATTCTCACCTTTTGAAATAGTGTCCCTGACCATGGCCAGTATTGTTCAGATCTACAACAGATTCACGCCAATTTATATGTGGATTAAGCAGAGCCTGGAATGTTACATTTCAAAATAATTTGTCGCACTACTGGTATTTTCTCAGTAGCCAGATTGCCCTTATCATGATTGTTGCACTCATCACACAAGAATTTTTTTTTAATGTTTAACAAGATCAGATACAGGGAAACACTCTCAGGTAGCCAATTGTTATTGCACCTTGGAGTTATTTTTCAAATACCAAAAAGCAAAGCAAAGAATAAGAACATAAGAAGAGCCCCGCTGGATCAGGCCCATCTAATCCAGCTTCCTGTGTCTCATAGTGGCCCCACCAGATGCCTCAGAGAACACACGAGACTAGATACATGTCTCCTGATACCCCTCCACTACATCTGGCATTTTGAGGTACCGTATCTTCCTTTTAAGCCTGGAGATTATACATCCCAATCATGACTTGTAATACTTTCCTTGCCACATAGCATTGATAAAAGAATGATATAAAACCTGAAAATTCCTGTTAATATGCATCTAAAATGTTGTAAAACCGCCCTTTAAAAGTAACATTGGAAAGCAACTGAGGGTTACAGGTCACATCTAAGTAACTTATTACATTTAAAAAGTCACTCAGCAACAATTAGTTTTATAACTTCTTATGCAAAAGGTAACTGCTTTCTAGAAACATCACATGTAACTAGTTACTTCTGATGTCTAAGACTGAGTGTCTACGTGTGTGAAGTCAGAGATTAATCATGATTCAACACATAGTGGGAAATATCCTGTTGGATATCCTTCTGTGGCATAACCTGGACTGGATGAAGGGAGCATTTAATTTAATTTCTACCTTTAAGGGCTCCCCCCTCCCCTTCATTCTGAGCTTTCCCTGAGACAAAAAGAAGTCCCAGGGAGCCTCGGAACCTAAAAAGAGGGAATAAGCTTTTAATTACTTTAAATTAAATGCTTCCAGTACCCAATCCAGGTTACACTGGCACAAACATTTTGCCCATGGACATTTTACTGTCCTGCTCTCAAAAATGTTTCCGACTATGCTTGTGTGAGAAAAGGAGGGGAGGCATGTGATCCTTGTACACAATCTGAAGGCAAAGGTGGGTGACACTGTAATAAACCACTAAAAATTTTACAACCATAAACTAGCTTTCAGCCCTGCATAGCTAGCTCTTCATCAGGCTGAATACCACAGAGTTGTGGGCTCCTTGGTTAAATCAGGTTTCAGAATGGGAACTGCAAACTCAAGTCAAAGGGACAGGTTTCAGACCTGGTGATATGGATGTTTCTCCCAATCTTGTTAGAAAAAAAAGGTTGCTTGTCATTAAGTCGAAATGGTCCAATGAAATTAAAAATACAGGCAGTCGCGTAGTATTGTGGTCTGTATCTACGATCGTGTGAATTTTGCATTGGAGAGTTGGTTATTCAGACTGGTGGCATTTTTAAAAAAAAAATCTTTTGTTCAGTTCTCACGTTTCTAGAATTTTGGGGTGTGCTCTGTGTTAGACTTTCCACATCTGCAACCCTTGCTTCATTATGATTCCTGTAGTGCAGTGGTCCCCAACCTTTGGCCTCCAGATGTTTTTGGACTTCAACTCCCAGAAATCCTGGCCAGCAGAGGTGGTGGTGAAGGCTTCTGGGAGTTGTAGTCCAAGAACATCTGGAGGCCCAAGGTTGGGGACCACTGCTGTGGCGAACAGTCCTGCCCTCACCTGCCCGTCACCGCAGAACATTGAAGCAGGAGCCAATGAGTGGACAGAAGGTGGAGCCAAAGGGGGAGGGAGCTGGATATAAAGACTGGTGTATGGAGTCTGAGAAGAGAGGGAGACTGTGTGTAGCTTAAAAGTGATTGAAGAGTGAGTTAGAGATCTGTAACAGCATAGATTGAAGCAGAGTGTTAAATGAGTTTTGATGTTATATACTATCTGATTCTTATATAAGTGATTGACAACCTGTGATTTATCCTATGAATATATATTGATTATAAACTTCCCTGATCAAATAAAAGATTTAAGTTTGAATAGCACACGTGTCTCCATAATCAATTGATATTAAAACATTACTATCTGGTGGCAGCGAAGAAGAAAGAGGAGCGAGATACTTGTGAAGGCCAGGAGAATAGGGTCTTCAGAGGAGATTGCCACAGTTCCCATAATCCGGCAATCAATTCATCTGGCTGTGGAATTGTGGGAGTTATAATCAAATATATTTGGAGGGAACTAAGAAGAACGGGTCTCCTCTACAAATTACATGAGGCATTGAATGGATGTAATTTTTTAATTCAATGGGTCTCTAAGTATTATGGCTTATCTGGATTTAATCCTCTAAACCATTAAACAATGGTTTAAAACATGTTGCCTTCCAGATGCTAACTACAGCTCTTGATAATCTTAATCAGCATGGCCAGTGTTGGGGAATGAAACAACTGAATGAACGTCTCTACTCAATGTGCCAGCCACAAGTCACAACACACTTTGTTTCAGAAAATAAAGAGAGAGTATGTTTGTTCCTTCTCTGTCGATAACACTGCTGTAGACTAGGAAATGGCAGCTTGAGGCTCAAGGGGCTCAAATGAAGGCCAGTAGCACCCCCAATTTAAAAACATGGGGGGACAATAGGAGGCTCAGATGTCCCTTTGTGCCCTTTAGTGGGTGTGGGGACGCAATACTGCTGTATTATGAGCCTTCTCACATCAAATTGTGTTGCCCTCCCTTTCCCCTTCTCCCCCAGCATCTTGAAGTGTAGGTTTTACTTTTTAATCCGAAGTTCTGATGCTCCAGCAGCAGTCTTCCTCTTTTACAGCTAGACAAACATGTTTTACACCAATGTTAACCCAAATATCAATTTCTTCTGTAAAGACTACAATTGTTTTGAAATTTGTAATAAATAAATTGTTTCTTGTTTTTTGCAAGCCTTCACATTTGTATACTGAGATGTCTTCAAAGTCCAGACATCGTGGAAACTACAGTAACACTGAAAATAAGCGAGGACTCCTTCTCTCAACGAAAGTGTCATGGACCCAGTTGGATGAAGATTTTTCCAGTCCAGCAGAAGAAGTAGACAAGCCCCCTGCTATTCCACAGCTTTGTAAGAAATTGAAAGACTTATTTACGATTTTAGTATCCTTAAGGTTGTCTCTCCCATCTCTGTGCATTTCTTCATGCAAATAGACTGAGACAAAGACTTATGTATATATTGTTCTGAGCATCTTGGAGAAAGAGTGGGATGCTCTGGAACTTCAGTGGGTCTGATATTGCAGCCTGATTTCTGACCGGGGCTGGTTCCAGAGATCAGATAACCGCTTTGTTACTGCAGCTCCACTGGCTGCTGATCCACTTCTGGGCACATTTCAAAGTGGTGGTTTTAATCTGTAAAGCCTTAAGCAGTTTGAGGTCAAGCTATCTAAAAAACCGTATCTCCCCTTTTAAGCATCCTGGGGTGTTAAAATTATTAGAATAGGCTTTTCTCTTCATCCCATCATCCTCACAGTACACCTGTGAGGATGATGGGACACTGCTCCTAGACTCTGGAACTCCAGGTTGGCCCCATCATTGCTGTCCTTCTTCAAGCAGGCAAATACCTTTTTTTTCAGGCGGGCTTCCCCTTAGTGGCAGACTACCTAGGAGAAGTTTTAAAATGAGCTGGTTTGCATTTTGTGGTATTTTAGTCATGGGGTCACGAAGAGTCGGACACGACTAAACGACTGAACAAACAAAAAAAGTAATGCTTTACTTAACATTCTTAATATAATGTTATTAATTCATTTAATATTTGAACAATTCACTGTTTCTAGCTTTAATATTGTGTTTTAAAGAGGTAAGCTGCCTTGGATCCTTTTTCTTAAGAAAAAAGTAAGGTAAAATAGTTTATATAAATAATAAATCAATAAAAATACTGTTCTGTCATATCTAATTTTCAGTAGACCACAGGGAAAAAAACCTTTGCAACTGGATGGACTCTGGTTTCTAGTAAGTATGGACAATCCTGAATAGTATGATTACTTCAAAAAATGAACAAACAGCCACATCTTTTGCCAAAATCTTGTTTCAGAACAGCACATTTTGAAGGGACATGCACTCAGTTTCTGGTGGGCTGTTCTTAGCATAACCGGTTATTTCCCCAGTTTCACAACCAGTGTACAACTGGCACAAGAAGGACTGTCTACCTGAGTAGGAAAACAGCTTTTATTTGCACTGTGCATTTCCAAACAGGATTCTGGCTCTTGTAATTATATATTATTCTGCTGGAAGGCTATCTCCCCATTCCTCTAGTACGTCTGATGGACCTGGAGTGTGACTTCAAGTGGCTATTAATTCTAAGTATGCTTAAAACTAGGAAGCCGAAAAATAGAACAGTTCTAGGATGGAAAGGGGCATATCCTGTGTTTGTAGATATGTCCAGGGGCAACTGTTCACTCCAGCACTATCACTCCTCAGAGCCCGTAAAGCTTTACATTCACTTTTCTTTCCCCCCCCAAATGAAATATAGTTGTTCATTTGGAACTGCTGAAGGGGATTTGGCATCGTCTGCATTTAGACGTGATGTAGAATCAGTCAGTAATGCAGCCTCCACGCTTGCTCTGGAATGTAGAGGTATGCAGGAAATTTTTGGCTGAAAGATTTCAGCTTGAAATGGAAGGAGTGAAAGGATGAAAAGGGGAACACAATTGTTCCTATTTCCTCACCATTTTCACAGCCATTGCCAGAAAAGCAGCAAGAAAGAGAGCGCCTGTCAGCTACCTGATAATATGGTGCCATTACCAGATGGATTCTGAGTATTATTCAAGGTAAGAGTTCTCCTTGATGCTGCTGTTAAGCCATCGGAATTTGATTCTGCCCCTCTCCCCCTGGGACAGAGTGCTTCCATTTTGCTGAGCTTCAATCGGACGGCAAAATGAGAAGGCATTTTGGCTCAGTTCTGTGACATCTGCCTTGTGAAGGAAGACTTTTAGAAAGAGCTCTCAGCTTAACTCTGCGAATTGCAATGCTTTATTTCCTCCTGGTCAACGAATCAGAAGGAATTAAGAAAACAAAACACTACCCTTTCTCAAGTTCATGTTGGCAAGGAGGCCTTGGAATGCAGAAACAGTTTGAAACCTCAGCACTGACACTGGTTTCTCTTTTTCCCCTCTTGCATCATAGCGACTTGGTACATTTGTGTAAGTGGTAGAAAAGAGCACAGGTTCCAAGCCATTATAAGCTGAGGCCAAATCTGGGGAGAGATTATATTCAGTGCATAATAGCTGAGGGATTTCTGAATTGGGAGAGGTTTGTCTCTATTCAACAAACTTCCAAAATTTATCTCTATCCTATTAAACAGCAAACACCTCTTTTGATTAAACTGTTATTATTGTACTCCCCAAATAGATAAACCTTCTACTGCAAGGCATATAGAGTTGTGAACAGTAAAATACCGAACCAAGAAAAGAGGAGGATAAAGAACTAGTTCAGACTAGCCATGAAATATGTCTTTCACTTAAAGAGAGTCCTTGTCGTCTCTGTTTTGTCAATAACTGGAAGAAAGCACTGGATATTTAACCTGTTTGTTTCCTGAACCACATCTCCCTTTAAGTCAACAGCTTATCTGGAAGCAAAGATTCAGAAGAAGGCAGAGACAGAGTAGCAGGTAAGATGATACTTGGACGATACTTGACAATAATAAGGTATGAGGAGCTTACATAAAGTAAATCAATAGAAAAAGCTTCACCTTATTTAGTCATAACACACATTTGTTTAGTCAGTCTAACACCCACCCTTTGCAAATACAATTAGAAAGCAAAAGGGTCAAGGACACAGGCAAAAAGTAACTAGTTTTCCTTCCCCTTTATAGCATACCTTGCACTGTTCTCAAACTGTTTCCCCATAATAATTTATATGTCAATTTATATTGCAGTGCCTGCTGAAGAAGGGAATGGTAAGCCACTTTTGAGTACTCTTGGGTGCTACTCTTAGTAGTTAAAACTGACTTGATGGCATATAATTATAATTATAATTGTTGTTGTTGTTGTTGTTGTTGTTGTTGAAATACCAGGCACTGTCAACCAAAATTATAAAAGCATTGACTGGTATTATGTAACAGATACAAATTTTAACCAAAAACCTAAGTATCAAATATCAGCGCAGTGCGTATGCTGTTCCTAATATTGCCGTATTTTGTAGCTCTGATGGTGTTATTTCTGAAATCTGTAAATGCTTATAATATTGTGTGAAATTCCATGGCATTGTTCTTATTTTTACAATTATTAATATTTTGCAAATTGATCACTTTCTAGCATAATAAACCTTGCAGTTGTATTTATTTAAATTTATTTTATTTTAAACATTTTTAACCCTCCTTTCTTTTTTAAACCCCCCCCCCAAGGTGGTTTATAACAATTAAAAGACAATATTTAAGATTATTAACAATGAGTGTATAATCTTAAAAGGATTAATGAATACAATACCAATAAATAAATAAATAAATAAACAGCCTGCTTCCACAAGAGGTGTTGCTGTTTAATAGTGGTATAAAAGGAGTGTTCACTATTTTAAATTTCTGGTCACATTTAATAATACTGTTTTCCACTCAGTTTTTCAACATTACTATCCAAGTTTGCAAGATATCCCTGGGTGACCTGGATGTTTTCATATGAAAAAAAGAAAGCAAAGTTGGGTAGCTCTAATCGGGAAGGTTTAGAGGCTACTGCAGGGTTGGATCCATGCTCTGTGAGTTCATGGCTGCTCATGGTTACTTCCCTTGCAGGAACTGCAAGTCTCTGCCAACTCAGTAGGATATCTTTGTGTTATTGACTTGATACTTGCATTCAAGTACAGTAGTTTCAGAAGTTTCATTATGGGGCTCATTTTGGAATGATTAAGAAACACCAGTTTCTCCTCTAGCTGAGCCAAAGCATGGGTCCTAGTCCTTAACATTTCATCTTATGAAAATCTTCCTCTCCATTTTTGTGACCTTCAGGGCCTCATGAAAACAGTGGGGAGGGGAGAGGTTGGGGGAGTTATTGGGCATTGTGACAGTTTCACATCCTTCCCTTCTCTCAGCAAGTGGAAAGAAAAAGACACTAGTCTCTCTTTTAATGATTTCCTTAAAAATGTTGATCACCATGTTAAAGAAGGCAGTCCACATGATCAGTTGCTAATCAGAAATAATGTGCTACTGCCACTTCAAGAAAGGAGTTCCATAGTGTCATCTTAAGAGAATACTGTATAACAAAGTAGCAGGTGAGATCCTGCTGTACTCTGTTCAATTGCAGGGCAGCTCTTTCCTAAAGATTCTTTCTTTGAAGAGCTGGGTGGAAAATTCTGGCCAAATGTTATCAGGGATGAAGCTGGAAACTGCAACCCCCCACCCCCTCCCCAAATGCTGGCTCCTATTTGCAGCCAGCATTTGAACAGACCCAGCATGACCACCTTTCATTATTTTTCGGTACTCTCATTTATGATTTATCTGCACTTATCCACAAAATATTGGTGCATGGCCTAAAGATGTAGACATCATTGACAAAGGCTTGCTGTTTGTTCAGTTTTTTATTAGTCTTGCATTTGTACAATTTTAAGGACCACATGGCTTCTTCCTAATTTTTTCAGGATTATTTGCTTTCTGGTAGACACTTTGCCCCTACAAAAATTAACTGCAGAATCATGTTATAATACAAAAATATTGGACAAAAGATTGTCTCTGGCAGTATTTATTTTCATTGTGTTAAAATATGGCTCGTATACATCCTCACTTCAATGACTGTTCTTTAGGATCTCATTCTTATTTGCCTCTTTGACTAAATGTTTCTTCCCTCATCTGTTGGTCCTCTCCCAAACTAAATGTAGCCAAATCAAAATTTTATTTAAAAGTTCTTGACAGTAATACAGACTTCTGGGGAAAAAATATCAGTGGATCTCATTTCTTTGCAGCTTGTTCCCCTCCCAAGGGAATGGTACAAATGACTGTGCAAAACTACATGCGGTAGGTATACACATTATGCCTTGTATGCCTGCTATCTTCTGAATTCCGAAATACCAAGAAGGCTGTACAGGTCATTATGCAGAGAAGCTGCATGATGTCTTAACTGTGGGATGGCAGGAAGAATATTCGCTAGCTTAATTGTCGACATCTAAATTTCCTAGAATTAAGTTGAATGTGCTATGTATAATTAGCCAGAGTTGTATGTGGGTGTAAATGTAAAACATTTCATGTTAAAAGCAAGACTTATCTTTCATTCTATGGCAAGCAAGTTGCAAGAAGTTTAACTATTGCTCTCTGAGTTATACATCCCTATCTGTTTCCTTATCTATGCATATATTGCCAACTGAGTGCAGGAATTATTGGGGCTGGTTCAAAGCATCACATTTCCCATGTAAACGCCTACTGTGTAACATCCTGTTCCTGAGAACAGCCATACAAACAGTTTCCCCTCAGTTTCTTTATTCTAGTTGTCCCTTGTCCAGCTGGTGAAATCATGGCAGAAGTGTATATATTTATATTTTGCAGTGTGATACACAACCGCATGAGTCGAACACTTAGATATGGATATAGTTAACCCCCTTATTCTATGCACCCATTAGCATGTGCTTGTTCATAAATCCTCCCTTTATCATACACTCCAGAGCAAATAAATTTAGCAAAATGTATACAAGAATTTCCTCTACATAATATGTACCATAATATGTGGGAAATCTCTCAGGAAAAAAAGAGAGAAAGAGAGGCGATAACACAGTTGAGAACTTTCATGACTGAATACGTAAGAATTCAAAAACACACATCTTAAGAGTGAAGCCCTCAAAGCTCAGGACCTGGAGGGATGAGTCTGTCAGTTTTGTTTTCTTCCATAAAAGTTCTCGAGTTCTTTTTTCCACATCCTGAATTTGGATTCAGAAACAACATTCTTGCCCATCACTGCATACTTTCAGGAAAATTGAGGTGGCTAAGTCAAAGAGATACGTTGTCTGCAAAATGGCTCATCCATCTGGTGCCTGTTTGCAAAGAGAACAGCGGGAGGGAGGGTGCAGAAGACTGTGTGTTTTTTGAGGATTGCCCAGCCCACAACCTTGTAGCCCCCTGAAAGCAAGAAATCCCTTGACAAACCCTAGCCAGGAATCTTATGCAAAGGGGAGAAGTTCCTTCTGCTACTGCTCATGGCATGGTGCTCAGTTTGGCGCTTTATTAAAAGCAGTTATATCTTTTAAGAAAGTAGGTGGCTAGAGAAAGTGTGCTCCCTAAAGACTCCCAAAGTTACACCATCTGTCAAAAGCAAAGAAGCTCTGCCACCTTTATAATTAGCATTTACTGTACCTAACACCTACATTCTAACACCTACTATAACATCCTGTTCCTGAGAACAAATGTGTTTGCCATGGTTTCATATACGCTTTCCTACTGAATAGCTCCTGCAAAGTAACATTCTGAACTGAAAGAAAGAGGCAAATGTTTACTCCAGAACGCAATTACAGTGACATCCCAGGGGATTTCAAATGTAAACATATTTTATTGCTGTTTCCTCTTACTATAGATCCTTGCACCAGTTTTCAGAAATGCCTGTTCTCTCGAGATGGAACAGTGCCAGCTCATCCCATTCCCTCTCCAGTGCTCCCAAAAGGTCAGTGTTCACCTGAGTTCAATATTTATGGTTTTTATGTGAAAGTAAAGCAAAGTGTGCTGGTTATATGCCACTCCGTAGTGCTTTAAACTTTCTCTGGACAGTTTATCATTTAATTATGCAGGTTACACATTGACACACACACACACACACGGATGCACGCGCACGCGCACACGCACACACACACACACACACACACCCACACACACACACCCACACACACACACACACACACACACTGGCAAGCTGGGTACTCAGTTTACTGATCTCAGAAAGATGGAAGGTTGAATCAACCTCAAGCCAGCTACCTGAGCCTGAGATCGAACTGAGGTTATGAGCAGAGTCTTGGCTGCAGTACTGCTGTTTAACCAGTGTGCCACAAGGTAGGAAGTTCTTGGATTGAAGTCCTCTAGCCAGTATAACCAATGTTGAGGAATGACAGGAGTTAAGGATGAGACTTCACCCTATTCTGCATTGCAAAGCATATATTTGAAAGAGTCTGCTGGGCCTAAAATGTCATCTGCATAGCTGATAGGTAGTATACAAGCTTCTCTGCACTTCTATCCAGCTGGGTGTGGGTGCATATATGTATATACAGTATATGAAACTTGATCCATTACTCAAAGAGGTGCTGGTGAAAGCTCAGATGAGATGCACTGTATTTTCTTTTGTAGTTCTACAAAACTACAAAAGAAAATACAATACTAGATCTGCCCGAATTACTCGGCATAGCCAGGAGGGACGGTTGAGGGGCCTAATGCCGAGAGAGGCCCGGAAAGAAAGAATAAGAAACCGGGCCTTCTCGGCAGTGGCCGTTTTACTATGGACCAGCCTTCCAACAGAGATCCACCTGGCACCCTCGCTGGGTGTTTTTAAGAGCCATTTAAAGACTTGGCTCTTTAGGCAGGTCTTCCGTTCTGTCAGTTCTTGCATTCTATCTCTTTGTTTATCATTCCCCATCTTGAACACACTATATTATTGATTTAACTGTTTAATGATTATAATGTTTTATTATATTCTATGATTTTTTGATATTTGTAAGCTGCCCCAAGTAGACGCTGTCTGGGGGGGGGTAGAAATCTAAATAAATAAATAAATAAATAAATAAATAAATAAATAAATAATTGCTACACCAGCTAAGGCCAAATGAAAGACTTGTGTTCTTGCTTAGATACCCTATTTAGATTCTGGAACTGTCTTTTTCTTTGTCTACTAACTTAGCTTTGTTCACTAAATTTCACCAAAATATTATCACTCTCTTGTAGCCTCTGTGTCAACCACTTCAAGGAGCTGTAGTGCAAAGTGAAAGACATGTCATTGTGCAGATAGCGTTCTTGCTTTCTTGTTTCTTCTTGCGTTCTTGCTTTCTTGTTTCTTCTGCTGTACGTTATCTGGATTTGTCCAAGGGAGTTTCAGTAGATGCTTCCTTGTACAAACTGAGAAACTGTCCAACTACTTGCACAGCAGACCATTTCATGAGTTGAAGGAATTAACAAGACTCTGCCACATAAGTGTAATTGTATTTTCATGTTTAACTTACTCTGTTTTTAACTGCACCTCTTTTAAAGTAAATCACTTTGGGCCCTTGTATTGCAAGATAGGTGGGGTATGAAACAAACAAACAAATGTGCAAAGGAGGCTTTTGAGGAGCAGAGGATGCTGAGAAAGAGAGAGAGAGAGTTTGGACCTTGTTACAACAAAAATGGCACGAAATGCTAATAATACAGTGGCATAGTTAGAGGTACAATGAGATCTGACTTAACTCTGAAGTAACTTAGAATTAAAATTAAATTCCAGTTCTCCATATTTAGAAGGCAATTGTTCTCTCTCCATTTGTTTTTGCCAGTATTTCCAGTTCTGACTGGGAGAGTTAGTCGTATCAATTTCTATTACCAAAGATAATAATGACTTAATTGACAATCCAGATCACTAGATTCAGCTACATAAAAGAGAGAGAGTGAGTCAACAACAACCCACTCAAGGAAAGCTTTCTCTTTTCACAGAAATCTTTCCTACTTGCACTGAAATCATGTGGCATTTCTCATGCTCTTCACAGTTAGGATTTATTGGGAAATGTGTTAGTTTTCTTAACATTGCTAGAAGCTGAATTCTGTGAACTGATTAGCTTATGAGTAGTGCAAGTCTCCTTCCTGCTGTTGCGAATGTCTATGTGCTAGCTAACTAATAATAATAAGGAGCTGCATATTGACCTCACAATGACTATGGGATGAATCCAACGGGAAATCTCAACAACAGTTGAGCCATTGAAATCCATGGGGCACACACTACTAAACATTTTGCTCACTTTAGTTGGTTTACTAGCTGTGATTAATATTGGATAGAGTCATAGGTTTCCAGCAAGGAAGAGAGTTGGACTCATGATACAGAACATGATTTTTGGAAATCCTTGAAATTAGCAGTAAAACAGACATCTGCATTGTTACCTTTGAGCTTTTGGGACAATGTGATCCGTAAGCTCAGATAAATAAATGCAAATAGAATTGAATTTGTGCAATATCTACTTTATTACTATGGAAAATACAATGTTTTATTTATTTGTTTACACAGTTAGCTTCTGTTTCTTGATGGTCAATTTGCTATTTATTCAAAAGTCTTTACCTATATATCTAGCTAAAAGTACAAATAGAATAGAATAATATGTAACATATATTAACTTATACTGTACAGTATATAAATGAATGACCAGAAGGGTTCAACCAAGTAGGATAATTTCTCCTGATTTTTTTTCTGTAGTGTCATTGAATGGCTAGATTTCTGGGAAAATGATCCAGTTGAGATCCTGCTTGATTTAGGATTTGGCACAGATGAACAGGAAATCTGCACTAAAATCCCTTCTCGGTTCATCAGTTGTGCTTCAACAGCTAAAGGAATAAATATCCGTGTCTTCATTGAAGCTCAACGACAGCGTATGGATCTGGAAAACCCCAATCTATGTGGTAAGTAAATGGTGTCTGTTCTGCTTCCAACTAAGGATTCCTTCAGAACTGCCATGGCTTAAGGATGTACCAAATACTGACAGCATTTTCTTCCAACATTGTGTCTCAACATGTTGATATGTGCACTTGAGTACACTTCCATGTAAATCATGATTAACAGTCTTGTGTGGATCCTTCTCGCAAGCGAATAAACATCTCCAGTGTGAAAGGAAGAATCCTCAAGTGAGAAATAAAATAGATTGTACTGAAGATAAGAATATTTTAAGTGTGAACCAGACTGCTCCAAAATCCTCTGTCTGGACATAGTATGTGAACATCTAAGAATTCAAGTTTAGGGACCATGGGTGCCTCTGACATCCTGTTCTGCTTACGTCCTTGTTTAAATTGAAGACTTTCGAAACTAATATACTTCTTTAGCAGTGATTTCTTATATTTTCTTAATTTTCATAAGGTGTATGAGCCCATGAGCTACTTCAAGTTCAAATTCAAGTTTATTGTATTGGCTAAAAGCCGTCACAATTGTTTAAAATACAAATATGATCAATTAAAATCATGATAAAATCACAGACATATAAAATGATAAGAGACCCTTCATATCTGGGAGTCCCCTGCACAATTGATCTTGATAGCGTGGATGTTTCTGGACGCTTTTGCAAACAGTGCTGTTCTGTATGTAACATATGGGTCACAGTCCAAAAGTAACCTCACCACCTTTATCTGTGGGCTTTCCTCCTGTAGGGCAGCCAAAATGTTACCCAGGAACTCTTCTCTGGGGTTTTGATAGAGCTGACAGTTGAGTAAATAGTGGACAACATCCTCTGTCTCACCTGCTCCGCAAATACATAGCCTTAGATGTTTAGGGGCATTTATGTACCTGCCATCTAAGACAGCGGTTGGCATGGTTTGGAAACAGAGTTCTGTGAATGTGGTTCTCAAGGAGGCAAAAGTAAGTGAATGTATTGCACCCTTGAGTGGTTTGTTTTCAGCAGATGGTACCAGTGAGAGAACTTTGAAGTGTCTATTAAGGCTAAGTCCTGGTCATTATCCAATTTGTAGATCCAGTCCCTCAACATTCTTTTAACCCCAGAGAAAACAAAAATGTCTGGAGAGGGATTTACCGTATTTTTTTGCTCCATAAGACGCACTTCCCCCCCCAAATGTGTGTTGGAGTGAAGGCAGCAATTTCGTCGCCACTGGCCCCGTGGGGGGTAGCATCGCAAGGGTCCGGGTGAGCCTTCCAGGACCCTTGCGAGGCTCCCCCACCCCCCACGGGGCCAGCGCCGGCAAAATCGCCAGCTTCCAGGTGGGGGGGAGCGTCGCAAGGGTCCTGGAAAGCTCACGCAGACCCTTGTGACGCCCCTCCCACCCCCGCACGGGGCCAGCGCCAGTGAAATCGCCAGGTTCTGGGAGTGTGGAAGCTTGGGAAGCCTCCAAACACTCCCAAAAGCTGGCGATTTTACCCCGCTGGCCCCGTGGGGGGTGGGGGGAGCGTTGCAAGGGTCCGAGGGAGCCTTCCAGGGCCCTTGCC